TTAGCCTTTCTGTACCTGAATTTCTTTTTTATTGTGATAAAATATTACCACTTGTTATGTTACATCTTCACAGAAATTTCAAAAGGGTTGATCAGCTAATATTTCAAAGTACTATGATTTCTTGATGAAGGCCAGAAGTACTAAATATTGTCAATAGTACATTTTAAGCTACAATTATCTGATAAAAAACTGAGAGTTTGATGCTAATATTACCCTTTCACTTCTTCCAAAGATTAAATAGAGGGAATAAAAGAAACAGATTCCACCATTTTATGCACACAAGTATAATATTTTTTCCATGTATCTTTGATGATTATTCAGCCCTAAAGCCTAAAAGCAAAGCATTCTCAAGAAATAAAAGATGAAAATCACTGAATAAAATTGATATGATTTCTTTATTTTTATTTGTTCACCTCTAGGAGAAACTCAATGAAGAGTAAATTTCTTAGACAAAAGAGTTTGGAATTATAAGTATGTTAAAATATGATTTAAAAACACAATACTAATTTCATACTAATTTCATCATTTCTCAGGAATATTAGTATACATTTTATTTTGCATCCCCACACCAGCAATTATTCAATCATCAACCAGCTTTCCACCTTCAACAATTAATACATTTGACAGATAATTCTCTAGCATCCATTAACATATACAAAGGGCTACTAGACGGGTGGAAAGTTCACAGAGATAACAATAAACAGTCACACAATAAAGTGCCCTCAACCTGTTAACTACAGCATTCTGGATTTTGAAGGAAAAAAGAAAGTACTTTCAGCTGAGTTGATAAGGGAAGACTTGTTTTATTGTAGAAGTGATATTTGAGCTGAGTCTGGAAGATAGCTATAATGAAACAGAGAAAGAGCTTTTGAGATAGCCCTGAACACAAACCCCTGCACAGACATACCATTATGAGCAATTCAGATCACATAAAAGGTTGTAAATAGTTCAAGATATGGCATTAAATCATGGAGGGCCAAAGATAAGACTAACAAGTCTATGTTTAAAGTAAAAGCATAGTAAAGGATTTGAGAGGAGTACAGTTAGAATTCATTAATTCAGTCAACAAATATATTTGTACCCCTATTTTTCTAAGCTGCATGTGGATACAGAAATATATGAAAAAGATGCAAAAAAAAATCTGCCCTTATTCTTGTGGTGGTGGGGGGGAGAGACAGACAATAAATAAAACAAACAAGTAAATAATACAGTATGTATTAATAGTTAAATACTATGGAAGCAATTACAAATACAGCAGAGAAGCAGTTATAAATATGTTGATTAGGGTTTGATCAAGGTTTTGAAGTATAATAAGTAAAGGAGTAAACCGCATAGGTAAGATTAACAGAATTCCAGGCAGAGGGAATGCTAATACAAAGGCAGTAAATATTGGCAAAGCAGCCTTGATGAGCTAGGGAGAGGGTAGAAGGAGACGATGTCAGAGAGGTACGGATAATCACATCATCTAGAATCTCATAGACAATTACAAGGACTCAGGCTTGGGGAATATTAATCTACTATTATTAATCTACTAGAATATGCACTGGGCAGAATGGATTGCAGGAGGGAAAGAATTACAAGTGAAAGCAACACAAAACTATTCTCCATGTGAAAAGGTCTGAAACAATTCATGCGCTTGATCACTGATTCATTCACATTAATTCAGAGCCACTATGCCAGATATTGACACTCAAACTGTGACAGGGATGGACAAACCTCTCCCAGGTGAAGCTGGCCCTCTAGTAAGAATGATGATAGAATAAATAGAAACATCCCAATAGGCTGACAAAGCTCTAAAACTATAGAAATCTAAACTGTATCATGAACCCCACAATTCTCTAATATTGTATTGATAGAAGAGAAAGTCTCCAAAGTTCCAATTACATGAGCAGCCCTTAGTTCAGTTCCTTCATCATCTCCTTAGCAATAGCCTTCAATGAAATATGGGCCTATATTCTTTCACTCTTCAGATTACTTTTGAAAAGAAAAACTGGATATTTTACATCAAAACAAATTATTCAAAACATCCAAGCCATAAACTAAACATCTGAGGCTTATCATTCCTCCAATCAGGATATCCTATATAATATGAAAATTGTCCACTCAGCCTGGAGTTGGACCAGGAGTTTAACCAGGGGCTGGGAGCTGGGCCAGCTGCAGCAGTGGCTGCAGGTGGCAGGAGGCAGGGGGATGGGAGGCCCTGCCCACAGCGGGGGCAGGTAGTTGCTAGGGGCCCTACCCATGCATGAGTTCCATGCACTGGGCCTCTAGAAGACAATAAGTATATTTAATTCAAATACAAGCGTTTATAAATAGATTAATTTAGCAAGGAAAAAAAGAAGGTAAAGAAGAAGAAAAGACCAGTCCAAAATTACCCAGTTTGTCTATAACCCATATGATAGCATTTTACAAACAAGTTGCTGATGCATGAAGATATTATCACTAGTGGCTGAATGACTGGCTTTAGTGCCCCAGTAATGATAAATCCACTGTCACAGAGGACAGACAGGAGCTAGTCTCAGCTGTCAAACTGTCATGGAGTTATTAAATATGGAGGGAAAATGACCCAAACAGTATGTAATGAGCTTCCTTTTCATTCTCTCGTTACAAAAGCACATCTGTGGATTGTTAATGACTCTCTGAAATGGATGAACCGAATTGATGAGAAAGGAAAACATCTCTCAGGGAGCAGAAAAGAAAAAGGGAACACACAGGATGTTTAGAAAATATAATTTAAAATAGGAGGGCTTGTGAAACTTCTGTGCCATATTATAAAGTGGCATATAAATGTAAGCTATCATTACTCAGTCTTGTATTGCCTCCCTTGCTTTTCTTTATGTTGTAATATAAATTGTTAAACCTTACTAAATACAGAAAAGTATCAGGACATTCACAGAATCTGTCGGCGTGACTTTAGGATGTGGCACTGCTATTCCAATCTGGCAATTTCTATTAGTACGTTTCTTTTGCATTTTTTTCAAGACATGCCCTGTAGGCTGTGTGCAGGGACTTAAAGGCGTGTCAGGCTCTCACATGCCAGCTCACGGGGATTCTGTATCAAGTCCTGATGACATTTCTTGTCTAGATTTCTTGTCTCACCTGCCCTGGGATGAGCAAGAAAGCTGCACTTTAGTTCAAAGATATGGCTCAATCGCAGAATTTCTCCAGCTTCTGTATTGGTATTATTGACCTTTGTACCTCAGAGCCTGGTATTGTACACTTCTTCAACAATCCTGAACTAAGCTGAAGGAGTTATTTAGAAAGATGTTAGACAAGAACCAGAACATTAAACAAGATTGTCATAGTGTCAACCCATACACTAGAGCCACCATTTCATTTGATCATATTTAGCAATTCCAATTTACTTGAATTCAGAAATCTCAGGGCTGAAAAATTTTTGGTATGTGCTTTAATATATAAAAAAGTAGTGAATCAATAGGGGACCAGGCCTTCTTCTCTGGGTTAAGGACAGATACAAATCTAAAACAAATTGATCATATGCTTGCGCTCAGAGTGATACTGGTTAACTATATCACAAAGATATTATGTTGTTAAAAAGAATGACCAATATTTATAAACAGTGGGCCACATAACCTTATAAATGAAATCACCTTTAATACTCAGGCTCTCCAAGTCCTAGGGAGAACTTCTCTGAACACAATGTGCACAAGGGACCTTATTTGACATCACCAACTAAAAGTGAGGGGTCATTTGGCACAAGGTTAAAATAGTAACAAAGAAAAAAAAATGAAAAGTCATGAAAGGGAAAATTAAACAGTATACATTTGATATACTTTCAGTCACAACCCACTGTGAGGAACATAGGATGCAGTATTATAGTATAACTTTTATAAAGAAAAAAAAACATCTTAGTATATTACTATTTACTAAAAACCCTCAGATCTAAACTTATTTTCAAGTAATCTTTGCATTGTAACACTCTCTCTCTCCTCACACAGATCCACAGGAAATCCATTCTTACACAACCTGCCTGTACAAGACCAAAGAGTATCCTACAGATTGCAATGTTAGTCACATTTTCTCCAGAGCTAAAACAAAAACCAGCTTTACATTTAAAAAAAAATTCATGTCATATTCTTCCTTTTTATTGAATTTATTAGGGTGACACTGGTTAACAAAATTATACAAGTTTCCGATGTACAATTCTACATCACATTATCTTCACACTGTGCTGTGTGTTTACTTTCACATGAAATGTACTCCCAGATCCAAGAAATATCATAAGAAGCAGGTACATGAATAAAAAAATTAATCAGTGTCTCAGTTTTGGATCAATGCACACCCTTAACTGTGAAACTCTCTGCCTCGAGCCCCAGGCCCTGAAGATAATGTGATTAAAAAAAGAATGTGTGCCTCTAGCCAGTTTCCTTCTTACTGTTCTAATTCCACACCACCTCATCCAGTTGGCTAAATGACTAACCAACAAGGTCAATCAAATGCAATACTTCTCTCTATTCAAATATAATGGAAATTTTGACCATTCCACATTCAAAGAGCAAATACATTCTCACACTGACAACCACATTCCACCGGCTTTTCCCTGAAAGGGAAGTGTGACAGATGCCTTGGCTATAATTGCCAATCAGCCTTTACATGGCAGCTGAAAACACAATACATCACTTTGATCTCCTTTGCTCTAAACACATCTACAATCAAGAAACCTGAACAAGGAATAAGAAATTGGCATTGTTTCCAGAAGCTGTCACTCAATGGCACTTAAATACTATACTATATTTTTTGCTCATATTTTTATTTCTCTATTTCAGAGACCGTCTGTCGAAAGTCTGAACAAAAAAACGACTATAGTTAAATGAATACATTTAGATATTTGGAAAACACATTCTATTGCCAGGTAGAAAACAATATAAGCACATTTAATTAAATACCACCACTACCATTTCCTTCCCTAGTTACACACCTGAGAAATAAAACAAAGCAAGAACGCTCCTCATATTCTGAAACATGAGAGTTGTACTCACATTTTGCAGGAAGGTCATAGCCACATGTGATTTTCGCATGCCCAGTCTCACAGCCATTCAGGGTACGGCATTCAGCTAGCAAACAGGGGCCAGCCGCTCTGTGAATGCAGCCATCCACTGGGGGAGAGAGAAGAAAGTTAGCCCGTTGTTGGCCTTTTGGAAATAAGTGACACATTTGATATATAGAAAGAAAAGTAACTCAGTTTGTTCCTATTGGAAACCACCTTAGCCCATGGAGGAAACGCATGGTGTCCAATCCCTCAAACACTATGTTCTCCCCTTCCCCATAATACATGTGTGTTCAGGGTAAAAAGTACAGGGGGTGAGCAAAAATAGAAGGATTTTTAGAAGTAGTGTGCTACTGCCGAAACCAGTTTGGCTCAGTGGATAGAGGTCAGCCTGCAGACTGAAGGGTCCCGGGTTCGATTCCAGTCAATGGCATGTACCTTTGTTGCAGGCACATCCTCAGTAGGGGGTGTGCAAGAGGCAGCTGATCAATGATTCTCTCTCATCGATGTTTCTAACTTTCTATCCCTCTCTCTTCCTCTCAGTAAAAAATCAATAAAATACATATTAAAGAAAAAAAAGTAATGTGCTACTAAATGTTAAAAATATATATCTTCTTGAGGTGGGGGGAATCTATTATTTGAAGCATTTTGCATTTTGCAATTTCAGTGGTGTAATTATTCTCATGTCCATTTCTTTTTCTTTTCTTTTTTTTTATTGATTTTTGTACAGAGAGGAAGGGAGAGGGATAGAGAGTTAGAAACATCGATGAGAGAGAGTCATCAATCAGCTGCCTCTTGCACACCCCCTACTGGGGATATGCCCGCAACCAAGGTACATGCCCTTGACCGGAATCGAACCCGGGACCCTTTAGTCCCCAAGCCTACGCTCTATCCATTGAGCCAAACCGGTTTCGGCTCTCATGTCCATTTCAAACTATCAAGGCCATGTCACTGAACACAAAGTCGAGAAAAATTAGTAACACTTCTATTTCTGATGAGCTGATAAGCATTGCCTTCAAAACACAAACATGACACAGACATGACTGACCTGCTGCAGTGTCTCAAACAAGTCACTAAGTGACAAGCAAGGGTAGCTTAGGTCATGATAAACACCCATAGAACCACCCTCACTGGACAGGGACTGAAACAGAACTTGGGTGCCACTGCTCCAGCTCTGTAAATGAGCAGGCTCCCCAACCGCAGGTCTCTTGGCTCTCTGGCCTCCCATCCTGCACCCCATCATATCTGGCCTCTCCAGTGAGAGTCACCGTTTCAAAATACAAATCAGCTGCCATTGGAAATGAGAACTGCATGACTGGATTGGGATCGAATGCACAGGTGGAGAGCTATAAATCAGGACATTGAGAACTTGTATTCTTCGTTATTTTTGAATGGTGTCCTTGGACAGAAAGGAAACACAAGATTGTAAAGATGTGAAACTATATCAGGATTATTAGTGGTCTTAAGATTGTCCCCTTCTCTCCACAGTTCACAAGATTATGTCATTATTATTATTATTATTATTATTGTCATTATTTTGTGAGGAAGCTGGATATTTGGCGGGAGATTGTCATTGAGGGACATAACACTTTTTAATGTCCCAGTGGCTTTGCAACCACTGACTGCCTTGAAGACATCACTTCTGGCTGAATAAGTCTCCTAGAAAAACTGTCTCTTCTGGGCTTTCCTACATCACTACTTGCATATCTCTGTAGTTTGAGAATGAACCTGGGCCTCAAAGGTGCTCACAAAAAAAAAATAAAAAATGACATCACTCCAGACTACACTAAACCACTGTGTTTTAGCTCTAACCAATTTGGCTCAATGGATAGAGCATTGGCCTTAAAGGTCCCAGGTTCAATTCTGGTCAAGCGCATATACATTGGTTGCAGGCACATCCTCAGTAGTGGGTATGCAGGAGGCAGCTGGTCCATGTTTTCTCTCTCATCGATGTTTCTGGCTTTCTATCCCTCTCCCTTCCTCTTTGTAAAAAAAAAAAAAATCAATAAAATATATATATTTTAAAAATAAACACAAAATAAACCACTATGTTTTAGAAAACCTATATACTGAGATCCAGACACTTTATCAGACTTGTTATGCTTAAGCCCCACTTTTCTTAGAAATCAGTACCCATAACGACACTGCTTCCCATGGCCATGGGTGGAACATGAGTAACACTGGGCATGAGCAGCACCAGCTTAGTGGGTACAGTGCATATGCCCCACTCCTTAAGTGGAAATTTTGTGTAAATATTAAAGTAACTTTTTTCCTTGTTTAAAAATGAGGAATATAAAGAAGCAAGCAGAATATGAAAACCACCATTTACCACCTAAACAACTCAGAATTCTGCTCTTCATACTTTCACTGTTTATGCACACACATACTCACACACATACTTTCTTCTTTAAAATTTTTAATATATTTTGTTTAAATTCTCTCTTATGGCAATTTTACTTTTTAAAATGTATTCTATGAAATAACAGAAGCGCACATGTCAGCAAGAGATAGGCCAAAGTTGTTCATATAGTGAAAATTGGAAATTACCCAGATAGAGAGGTGGTTAAATAAATCAAAAGACTTTTTATCAATGCAATGAACTATTATACAGCTCGTTAAAATAACAGGCCAACTCTATATGTAAATATTTATAAACATGAAAATATTTCTAAGTGAAATGCCATTTACAAGAGTATATGTAATATAGTCACACTTTCATTTACAAAGTTATACAAACAGTTATATATACACAATTTATATAGATATACATATAGGTGTATTGGAAAATTTATAAAACAATATAGAAAGTGATTATGAGATGGAAAACAGAGGGTGAGCCTATTAAGAGAAAAAAAAATGACCCTAATAAGTACTTCAAATATTTTATTTTATAAATATGTTTTTATTGATTTCAGAGAGGAAGGGAGAGGAAGTGAGAGATACAAAATCAGTGATGAGAGAAATCATTGATCAACTGCCTCCTGCACATCCCCCACTGGGAATCAAGCTCACAATCTGGGCATGTGCCTTGACCAGGAATTGAATTATGACCTCCTGGTTAATAAGTTGACACTCAACCACTGAGCCAACTTCTTCAACTATTTTAAAGTGAACATATTTTCTTGGCAAAGAGATAATGAATTACTCAGTTTGAAATGGATAACTAAAATGGGATTCAATAGTATACTTAATCATATGCTGTCACATATTATCTACATTATTTAGATTGCAGCCTAATGCAGTTTGTAGATATGTAATTCTCAAAATCTTCAAGGTTATACCAGCATTCCTTTCTGCTGAAAGCCTAGCTGAAGAACTATTTAGTAATAATGACTATAGCTTAAATGTATTGAGTGCATCTATGTGCCAGGCATTATAATGAAGACAACCTTTAAGGTAGATACTAACTTTATTATCTCCATTTTATAGGAGTTTAGCAGAGGTTAGTAATTTGCCTACATTCACAAAATATTGGAAAGGTGACTCAAAACTTCCAGTTTATCTGATACGGCAATTATTCTCTTAACCATTATAATTCACTGCCTTAAGGAATTGAATCAGACACTCTTACCTCAATTCCTGCATGTGGTATATTGAACCACTACATTACATTAATTTTTTAATTCATGTAATTCTATTCATGAGTTATAATTTAAAAACAACCATATGCACAGGTTTTTCAGTTTTGATGAGTTTTAACAAAATTATATACTCAAGTAACCATGATGTCAATAAAGATATAACATGTTTCCTTCAATCCAAAAAAGTTATTTTGTGTTCTTTCCATCCTATTTCCCTTCTTAGCACCCAGAGGGACCTATGTTCTAGTTTCATTCACCATAGCTAAGTTTTGCCTAGTACATAACTTCAACCTTCATATAGAGATAGAGAAGGAGGTGATCACTTCTTTCACTTAGAACATGAATATATATATATATTATATATACAAAATATTATATATATTAATATATATATATATATATATATATATATATATATATATATATATATATATGTTTTACAGAGAGGAAGGAAGAGGGATAGAGAGTTAGAAACATTGATCAGCTGTCTTCTGCACACCCCCTACTGGGGATGTGCCCCTAACCAAGATACATGCGTTGACTGGAATCGAACCTGGGACCTTTCAGTCCGCGGGCTGATGCTCTATCCACTGAGCCAAACCCGTTAGGGCCATTTAGCAAATTTTTTAGATTCATCTGTATTGTTGCATGAATTAGTATATCATTCTTTTTTATTCTTGAGTAATATTCCATTGTTGAATATACCATGATTTCTTTATCCATTCATCTGAATGGCAGTATTGTAAGAAATTAGGAAAATTCCTGGGCAAGTGGAATAGGGAAACTGAGACAAGAAAATAAATCTTGGCCAACTTGCAGCTAGCTTGTAAAACACAAAACCTTATCTCCCCAACCAAGGACACTTGAGAGAAAATGGTTAATACATAGCTTAAATCACCCTGGAACTGCAAATGCAGGGGGAGAGGAAGAGGGGAAAGAAGAAGAGTGTTTCTCATCCACTGAACAAAGAAGTCAGCAGTCCTGGAAAATCAGAAGATCTCATAAATTCTGGGAAAAGTCACAACAAAGTAAAAGGGTGACCTTGAACTCTAGTCCATTGGCCAAAATATCCTACAGAGGAATCTTAAAACCTATAGACAGAAAAGTATAAACCCCCTAATCCTCCACCAGGAGAGGTACTCAGATTACACCCACTTGTGCTGTACATTTACTTGCTTTACTCTCTTAATAATTTTGCTTGCTTTGCTTCAGTGCTGCTATCTGTCACTCATGTGAAGTCTTTCTTATGAGATTGACAAGAGCTGAGGAGGAGAGCAGACACCTCATCTGACTCAGGGGTCTGTCCAATAACAATCTGCAAATGGACATTGCAGTATTTATAATTTTTATCTACTATGAATAAATCTTCATTTATGTAAAAGTCCTTTGTGGTGCCCTAACTGGTTTGCCCTATGGACTTAAGGGCCCCAGATTTGATTCCGGAAAAGGGCATGTACCTTGGTTTCAAGCACATCCCCAGTGGGGAGTGTACAGGAGGCAACTGATCAATGTTTTTCTCTCATTTATG